ATATCTAAAGAACTCTTCAAAATCAAGGAATAAAAACAAAAAAAAGTTAGAAAAATGGGCAAAAGACATGAGCAGACAATTCACAATAAATAAATAAATAAATTTTAAAAACTGGTCCTTTTTACTTACAGCAATGAGGGAATACAACGCCTGGATTTATGCTCGCACTTCATGTGGGATAAATAAAACAATAACTTTTAAAAAACCTACTGCTGGATATAACCACACATTTACTATAATGGCTTAAATGTTTAAAACTAATGAAACCAAGTGGTGGCAAGATATGAGAAAACTGGAATTTTCCAAGTTGCTGGTGGGAAGGTATAATGGTACAATCACTCTGGAAAACAGTGTGGCTGTTTCTTTTAAAGTTAAACATACACTTCCACACAATCTGGAAATTCCACTCCTAGCTATTTACCCGGAAGAAGTTAAAATATATACCTATACAAAAACCTGTACATGAATGTTTATACATCTTCATTCATAATGGTCAAAAACTGGAAACAACACAAATATCTATCCAGAGGTAAACAGATAAAGAAACTGCAGTAGTTTCCAATGGACTACTACCTATCATTAAAGAGGAATGAACTACTAATGAACTACAGCATGGATAAATCTCAGAAATATTATGCTAAGTAAAGGAAGCCAGACACAAAGAGTAAAAAGCTGTAATTCCATTTATATGACATCCCTAAAAATGAAAAAAAAAAAAATAGGGGCAGAAATCATTTCCTCAGGGTGAGAAAAGGGGACTGACTGACAGAATTTCTGAGGATGATAGAAATGCTCTGTCTTGATTATAGTAGTGGTTATATGATATACATGTGTCAAAACACATCAAACTATACATTTAAAAGGATGAACTTTACTGTTTGTAAATTATACTTCAATAAACCTAATCTTAAAAAAGTATGCAGACTTTTAAAGGCTTTTAATATATATTTCCAAATTGCCCTTCCATTAACTTAATTTCTTCTACTACTCCCATTTAATTTACATTCCCACTGGCATTCTACAAGTGTCTGCACCCTCATCAGCCTCAATATCATCAGATTATTATTTTAGACTTTTCCTATTTGATAAGTTCTTTTAAAATGTTTCCTCACTGTTTTGATCTGCATATCTCTTAGTTTTTAGTGATGGTGAACTTTTTTTCATTTATTTCTCAGGTAGTCGTATTTCTTTTCTGCTCATTCTTTTAAATCATTATTTTAAGAAATTACTTGGTGTTTTTCTTATTAATTTTCTTAAAGCTTGCTATATATCCTAAAATATTTGTCATAAATATCCTTCCCAGATTTTCACTTGCCTTTCATTTTTCAATTTTTTTAATATACAGATATCTTAAAATTTGAAATTTCACAATATTTTCTACGATTTTGGGGGTATTTTTATTTAGAAATTTCTTTCCTCATGTACAGTTCAGTTAAATATTCAGCTAAATGTTTTCTAATTATTTATAGACTCAATTTTTTAACTCTTTAAATCTCTGTTGATACAGTGGCTACTAGCCACATGTGGTTTTGTAAATGTAAACCAATTAAAATTAAGTTTTTTTTTTTTAAAGAAGATATTGGGGGTAGTTTATTAATTATTTAATTTATTTTTGCTGTGTTGGGTCTTCGTTTCTGTGTGAGGGCTTTCTCTAGTTGTGGCAAGCGGGGGCCACTCTTCATCACGGTGCGTGGGCCTCTCACTATCGCGGCCTCTCTTGTTGCAGAGCACAGGCTCCAGATGCGCAGGCTCAGTAGTTGTGGCTCATGGGCCTAGTTGCTCCGCGGCATGTGGGATCCTCCCAGGCCAGGGCTCGAACCCCGTGTCCCCTGCATTGGCAGGCAGATTCTCAACCACTGCGCCACCAGGGAAGCCCCAAATTAAGCTTTTTTCCTAGGTTTCTTCTAGTTGTATGGTTTCAGGTCTTACGTTTAAGTCTTTAATCCATTTTGAGTTTATTTTTGTGTATGGTATAAGAGTCCAATTTCATTCTTTTGCATGCGTATACCCCATTTTCCCACCACCATTTATTGATGAACTATCTTTGCCCCATCGAATGTTCTTGGCACCCCTGTCAAAAATTAGTTGATCGTATATGCATGGCTCTCTATTCTGTTCCATTGGGCTATGTCTGTTTTTATGCCAATAGCATACTGCTTTGATTACTATAGCATTGTAATATAGTTTGATTCAGGATGTGTAATGCCTCCAGCTTTGTTCTTTCTCAAGATTGCTTTGGCTATTCAGGGTCTTTTGTGGTTCCATACACATTTTAGGATTGGTTTTTTATTTCTGTGAAAAATGCCATTGGAATTTTGGTAGGAATTCCATTGAATCCATTGATTGCTTTGGGTAGTACAGACATTTTAATAATGTTAATTCTTCTAATCCTTGAGAACCGGCCTTGGCAATGATTTTTTGCAATTGAAACCAAAAGCATAGGTAACAAAAACAAAAATAAACAAGTAGGACTACATCAAACTAAAATGATTCTGCATAACCAAGGAAACCATCAACAGAATGAAAAGGCAACCTATGGGACAGGAGAAAATACTTGCAGACCACATATCTGATAAGGGGTTAATATCTAAAATACATAAGAACTCATATAACTCACTCACAAGACAAAATAACCCAATTCAAAAATGGGCAAAGAACCTAAAGAGACACTTTTCCAAAGAAGACATACAAATGGCCAACTAGTATATGAAAAAGTGCTCAACATTATTAATCATCAGGGAAATGAAAAATTAAAACCACAATGAGACAACACCTCATGCCTGTTAGAATGGCTATCAGAGATAACAAGTGCTGTTGAGGGTATGGGAGAAAAGGGAGCCCTTGTACACTGTTGGTGGGAATGTAAATTGGTACAGTCATTATGGAAAACTGTATGGAGGTTCCTCAAAAAAAAAAAAAAAACATTAAAAATTGAACTACCATATGATCCAGCAATCCACTTCTGGGTATATATCTAAAGGAAAAGAAATCATTATCTTGAAGAGATATCTGTATTCCCATGTTACTGCAGCATTATTAAAAACAGCCAAGATACATAAATGACCTTAGTGTCTGCTGATGGATAAATGGATAAAGAAAATGTGGTATATATATGCCATGGAGTATTACTGAGTCATAAAAAAGAAAGAAATATGCCACTTGCAACAACATGGGTGAACCTAGAGGACACTATGCTAGAGAATATTATGCTGAGTGAAATAAACCAAGACACACTGAAAGACAAATGCTGTATGATCTGTTATATGTGGCATATACAAAAGTGAAATTTATAAATCAGAGTATAGAACAGTGGTACCAGGGGCTGGGGTGTGGAAGAAATGGGGAGATGCTGGTCAAAGGGTACAAACTTTTAGTTAGAAGATGAGTAAGTTCTGGGGATCTAATGCCCAACATGGTGACTATAGTTAATAATGCTGTAAACTTCACATTTGCTAAGAGAAGGTCTTAAGTGTTCTCACCACAAAACAAAACAGAAGGTAACTATGTGATCAGTGTGTTAACTTGATTAATCACTTCACAATATATAGTATAATAAATCATCACTTTGTATACCTTAAATAAATCATGTTGTACAACCTAAACATATGCAATTTTTGTCAACTAAACCTCAATAAAGCTGGGGAAGAAATCAAGATGAAAAAAATTGTTAATTAGAATCAAGTTAAATTTAAAATTCAGTTCTTCGGTCACACTAGTCTCATTATTTAAGACTATTTTTTAGAGCAGTTTCAAATTCAATTTTACTAAATGTAGAGCAATTTAGGTAAAACTGAGTGGAAGGTACAGTAAGTTCTCATATACCACTCTCCCCTCCTCCCAAATATAGCCTCGCACACTATCAACATCCCACACCACGGTATTACATCTGTTACAACGGATGAACCTACACCGATACGTCATTATCACCAAAAGTCTACAGTTTACGTTAGGGTCCACTTGTGGTGTTAAATATTCTATGGCTTTTTTTTTTTTCTTTTGCGGTATGTGGGCCTCTCACTGTTGCGGCCTCTCCCTTCGCGGAGCACAGGCTCCGAACGCGCAGGCTCAGCAGCCATGGGTCACGGGCCCAGCCGCTCCGCGGCATGTGGGATCTTCCCGAACCGGGGCACGATCCCGTGTCCCCTGCATCGGCAGGCGGACCCTCAACCACTGCACCACCAGGGAAGCCTGTGCTCATTTCTTTTTAATGTAGAGTACTATTGCATTGTCCAGATGAACCACAGTTTATTTAACTATTAAAGGACATCTTTATTCAAGTTTTGGCAACTATGAATAAATCTGCTATAAACATCTGTGTGTAGGTACTTCTGTGGATATAAGTTTTCCACTCCTCTGGGTAAATACCAAGGAATTTAACTGCCAGATCATATGTTAGAGTATGTTCAGTTTTGTAAGAAACTGTCAAACTGTCTTCCACAGTGGCCATAGCACCAGCAATGAATGAGAGTTCCTGTTGCTCCACATCTTCACCAGCATTTGGTATTGTACTACCCACATTGCCAGTGCTTAACAGCCACGTGTGGCTAATGGCTCCCATACTGGACAGTAACATACAGGATATTTCCATCATCACAAAAAGTTGTATCGGCAATGCTGCTCTGTTTAAAACTTCATTGTTTATACGTGGAAGAAGAACTAAGGTGACAGCCTTTTTTTTTTTCTCTGCATAAATCCATCCCTTCTCTCATTGCATTTTGATGGTTTTTGCTTATATTTGCTCAGAAGTTCAAATCCCTGCTCAGCCACTATATGTCCATTAATAAATTATTTACCCCCCGCCCCCAGTCTCAGCTTCTTCATCCTAATCATTTATCAGGTTAGTGCATTAAATTAGATAAGCAAGATAGGATAAATTACAACACTCATCATGTTAAGTCCTCATTTGCAAACTTTTGCCTGTTAGGAGTTTGTTTATTGAAGGTCTCAGTATGGCACTTTGAAGATCCTTACTGAAGGCAAAAGCTTAATACTGTATTTACCTGATGTGGATTTCTGTAACCCAAAAGTAGATTCGCTGCTTTTATATCAGCATGAACATATTCATTTTCATGTATATATTCCAGTACATCCAACTGTGAAAAGAAATATATAAGGTTATACTGATGTCTATTTAGAACTCCAGATCAACCTGAACATTGTGAATAGAGAATAACATGTATTTTTTTCACATTAACAATGACAAAATGATGTATTTCACAATTATGCATTTATCTATTCTAAAATTATCACATGTGCTGGTCGCTCATCCTGGGAAAAAGGTGAATAAAAGGATCCTCAAATATCAAGTGTTTTAAATGCACCTCTGATGGAGAGGAAGCCAAGACTCAACAATGCCTATGCTCCTGACAGCACGGTGCCCAAATCACACTGTGCAAAGAGGAAAATTATGATAAAATCAGAGACCTGAAGTGAAATAATCATGACGCCCACTCAACAATCCCTCGCCCAAGCAATAATTATAAGTTTTTGGGGCTCCCAGAACAAAAGCCCACGTCCAGGATCAGGCATTCTCCCTCTGTAGAGTAACAGAAAACACCTATGCTTCATCTCTGAAACCCTTGAGACTTGCATGTTACCTACGCCTAATGCTCAATAAACATTTGTTGGCTGGCTAGAGGATGGATGGGAAAATTAATGAGTTCTGTTTGCCATATCCCAACCTGGCATGAGTAGTTGCATTCTATCTAAAGTGGAAAAAATAAAATGGAGCTTAGGCAAACCAAACACAAACAAGATAAGACGAATACGTGGTATAAACAAAATGTGTGCATGGGTGCTATTAAGATTTCATTGCTTTTTATTTGGCAAAGTATATATTATTCATTGCCACACTAATTACTGCCACCATCCCAAACTCATAATAAAAACGTTATAGCACCCCCTTACCACCACATGTGTAGTATGGAAAATAATATATTTTGCCATACTTTGCATTGTTATAAATATAACTGACAAAAGAGAGGTTATTCTTCTAGAAATGCAAGCTTGTTCTGATACGTAAAACAAAGCTGTGAGAAAAAAAAAAAATCAGACTGTAGAACCAAGCCTAATTGAGTTTGTAGTGCCAAACACAGCACATTCTGTCACTTACAGAGCCCACTGTTATCAATTTCACCAAAATAGTATCTATGCTCAATAACTGACATTTCTAGGGCAATAATCCTTCATTCTCTGATAATTCCACAAAGGGCAACAATTTGTATGTTGTAACAAGTAAATAATCTGAAAATGGAGCATGGGAAATAAGTCATTCTTTCTTACCATTCGGATACCTAGCTGCAGGACAGTTGACTTTTTAAAAGTACCATTCTGGTCTGAGATCTTCTGCAAATCTATTCCCAGTCTTTCCATTACCATAAATCTGTAACTATAAGAAGGAGAAGTCAAAAGGAGATGTTAAAATAGCAATGCTGAAACTGTCTATTTATGAATTTGAAACAATGGAAAAATACCCCCAACTTAACAATAAAGAATGATGCAATCTGAACCATTAGAGAACGAATGTACGTTATATTGCCATTCTTTTGCAGAAACATACTAAGTATTTACTTTGCAGTTAGTTTTTGAGTAGAAGAGCATTCTGTGCCGAACCACTCACACTGTCTTAGAACATGAAAAGAGAAGTCTTTCTAAATTAGTCTTGAACTTAATTCATTTTGACTCCATCACCTTCTTGCCATATGGCCTTGAGCAATTATTTTTCCATACAGAAGATTTTATTTATATTTGTTTCTTGACCTTATAAAATCATATTTACTTTCTCTATACATTTATAAACATGTGTTTTCCTAAATGTATGTCTTCTTTTTCTTTTCTGTTTGGGACCTCTCCCCGCCCCTTTTCTTCCCTTCATATCTGCCCCAATTCTATATCTATCTATGTATACACACACACAAATACACATAGGAATTTTTGTATTTTTTTGACAAAAATGCAATCTAATTATATGAACTTTTCTGCATCATACTTTTTTCAATAATATCTCATTGAAATCCTTCCAAATCAACTTTAATTGATTCCTTTAATTGATTCCTTTAATGGGCTGCATAGTATTACATGATATAGATGTACCATGGTTTACTCAGCCATTCACTCCCCTATAGGTAGCCCTTTACTTTGTTTCAAGATTACTGTTTGTTCATTTTTTAAAAAAATTTATAGCATTTAAAGATCATTTAGGCAAAGCACTGACCTCAGCCTATCTTCTCACCTAGGAAAAGAAATATTATCACCTATCATAAAAGGCTACTGAAAGAACAAAATGGGTACCTAACAAATGACATTTTTTTAAAATCACTACTATTAATTATTTATATGTGATGACTAGCCATGTTTGGTGAGTTTAAAAACATTTCTACAAATTTTTGGTTGTGCCTCTCAAGAGATGGAGCTTAATTAGATCTCCTCTCTTGACTATGGGGTAGACTTAATGACTTGCTTCTAGCAAAGAGAACACAATAGAAATGATGGGCTATCACGTCTACAATTAGGTTATAAAAGGACTGTGACTTTCGTTTTGGATGCATGCTCTTGCGTGTGCTCTTTCTCCTTCTCTCTCTCTTTCAATTACTGCAAGCCAGCTGCCATGCCTTTATGACACTCAGGCACCCTTTGGAGAGACCTACATGGTGAGGAAGTGAGGCCTGCCAACAATCACGTGAGAGAATTTAAAAGCTGATTCTCTTAGGCCTGCCAATAGCCACATGAGTGATTTTGAAAGCAGAACTTTCCCCAGTCGAGCCTTGAGAAGACTACAGCCCAAAAGACATCTGACTATATCCTCATGAGAAGGCCTGAGCAAGAACCATCTAGGGAAGCCATTTATACATAGATAACTGACCCACAGAAACTAAGGTAATATTAGTTTGTCATTATAAGCCACCACATTTTAGGTCATTAGTTATATAGCAACAAATAACTAATAGACCACATGAGAAACAGTTACAGGACAATATTTGATTATAATAATTCCATTTTACCTTTTTCCCTTGAATTCAGCAATACCAGATCCATAAAACTGAGGAATTCCTAAATAATCAAGCTGTTTGAGTTCTATCCATTTTTTGACTGCAAAGACAAATTTCACAGGAAAAAAGGTATACTTTTTTAGAAAGGTATTTCTTACTTTTGCGTAGATGCTTAAACTTATTTAGCTAACTTAAATAGAAATTAGACCTTCCTAAAAACATTTTTTAAAAATCAAATATATCTAGCTAATAGTTGCAAATTCTATTTATCACTATAATTAACATAAAAGCATACACGGATTTCTAACATTTTAAAATTTTAAATCAGTTATAACCAAAACAAAAATAGTCATAGTCACTCTACTCAAGACTCTGTAATGACCTATATGGGAAAAGAATCTAAAAAAGAGTAGATATATATATATAATATATATATGTATATATGATTCACTTTGCTGTATAGCAGAAACTAACACAACATTGTAAATCCACTATACTCCAAAAAACTTTTTTTAATATAAAAAATATGCAATAAAAAACAGAAACAAAAATAGCATAGTCATAAAATGCATTGATATCATTTACACAAATGTTTCTATTCATTAAAAAAATTAATTCCCTTTCACGTTTGTTACATTTTTGAATATAAAATACGTTAACCACCAAAGGATCAGTAGAAAGACAGCTTTTTCTTCAATATTACTAAAAGTCTAAAGCCACAGTAGTCAAAATAAATAAATAGAAGTTGGGCAGAAAAATCATCTTACTCTGAAACTGTTGCACTGAAACTGTTTTGATTAAATTTTGTTTAAAAAAATCAAATCCACTTAATCAGGCAGCTTATTTAATTTTTCATTTTTCTACCATATATGCTTAATGTTTAAGACAGCTCTACTGATAAGCGATGAAGTCTAATGGATTCTGTTTGTCACTCTGACATAGTTTAAGCAGTTAGTAACGACTATAGTCTTAATGCTCAGAAGGTTGTTAAAGAAAACAAAGTTAATTATTGAGGTTAGACTCATCATTCTCTTTCCTAAACATAATGTAAAGGACCTTAATTATACTCATATCAATTTCCTTTAAGCTTTACTAGTCCATCTATATCATAGAGTATTTATAACATGCTTTTTTTCTTCTTAGCTCTGCTCATATTTATTTCATATTCCAATCCTCTAACTGGTAGTTCTTACATCTGATATCCAGCTCCAATTAATTACTCAACATACAAATATTAAACATTTTTAACTTATTTTCTAAATCATCTTAATGTTTAATCATTTCCATACACTATGCCCGAATCTATTCTATGGTCATTCCTTTTCTTTATAATCTACTGCCCATTTTATTGTCTTTTCCTTATATCCTTTTTATCCAAATGGTTTTTTGTGAAAGAAACAATTTCATTTTACTATCTTTTATACCTAGAGAACTCTTGGTAGCTTAGGTCAACAATCCAGCATTTTATGTAAAGTAAAAGAAATAACTTTTACTTGAAATATATAACCAATTATGTATATAATATCAAGATTTGTATACCATCTGTCTTGTTTTTATATAACAGTTAACTATCATTTTACAATAAAAATTCCTAATTGAAAAGAATTTTCCATAAGGCCAGAAAAAGACAAAAATATTAACAGCCACTTTAGCAAACATATATATGGAAGTAGCTTACTTTGCTAATTTTACTTACTACAGTCTCTTTTGGCCGCTCTTTGATAAAATTTAAGTTCTGAAAATAATGGGCCATTTTCTTGATATTCCTATAAAAGAAAAGTTAACTTTATTAGAAAAAAATTTTAAAGATGGAATTGGTATTTCAACTGTGAAAATGAGTATACATATGTAATATATAATAGTACTTGAATCACAAAAATCTCAGAAAAGCACTAAATAAACAAAGAACCTCATTTTTAACATTTTGTAATGCTATCTCTACAGTCTTAGACATGAGAAAGTAGTCTTCTTATGGAAAGAACTTACTAAAAACACTAAGAACTGTACACGTACACAGACACTCAATGTGTACTAACATGTATAACAGGGTGGATACACTGCAAACTACCCTGGTGGTTCATTCATACATGAATCTTTACTGAGTGTCTACAATATTTTGTTCATAGTACTAGCCACAGGGGTACAAACAAAAATAAAACCTCATTCCTGCCTTTAAGGACTTTATCATCTAGAGCAGAGAGGAAAAGAAAGGCAGAAGATAGAGAGCTAGATAAGATACAAGGATGATAAATGTCAATGTAGAAGAACAAAATTCTCCAGTCTTTACATTTTAATAATGTGAAAATATATAATATTAGATGTATTGTTAATTAAAATTATGAAAACTAAAGGTGAGAAGCATTTTTACAAAAATGAAATGAATAAAGCAGAAAATTAAAATGTCAAATATATGTGAAACACAAATTAAAGAGCAATACTTACCACTTTTATTACATGTCTTGCATCTTTATCTGGGTTATTTACGGGGAAAGCTGCAGAACAAAAGAGAATGAGGAAAACAATAGTTGCTCCCAATTACTGAATGCCTACTATATCCCAGACACTGGACTAAGAACTCTTATGGTAGGTATCACCTCCATTTTATACAAGATGCTTCTAAGGTTTAACAAGTTGAATAATTTGTTCACTAAGTAGCAGCAGATTGGGGATTGAAACTCAAGTGTGACACCACAGCCCACACTCTTTACCATAAACCATACTCAAATATTCAAACATGGAAACCAATAGATTATATCAATCACATAGATCCAAATGTAGGGGAACCTATTTGCTGGATATATAGCATTAAACCCAATACATGATATATACTATAATCCATTGATTGAATTTTGCTAAATTAAAATCTATGATAATTCAGAAGTGAACACTGATTCACGTTAAGTAGAAAGTTCAAAACAACTTCTACTTGGCAAAATTCTAAAATAAATCAAGTTAGAAAAAGAATAAAGTCTTTAAAAAATCATCTCCTGAGCCTAGCAATCAACTATTCCTAAATTAAAGAGTATGTATCTCATAACATAAGCTCATTTCAATTTCAAGTTATCTTACTTCATTTTATTACTTACCATTTGCATTTTAGATACAGTAATCCAACTTAAGAAAATTCCACTCTTCAAATTCTTAAATCAAATCAATCATCTCATCTACATTATCTAAATTATTAAAAGATTACTTTGTATTCAAATCTTGATAAGAGAAGTTGACATGTATATTTATTCATATTGTGAAGGTCTAGAATGTTGTCATTCAACTATTTACTCTTCATTCATTTATTCCTTTATTCATTCAACTAACCAATATTTATTTATCAAGAAGCTAGAATAGGCAAGGCACTGTGTTAAGTGTTTGTCAGGATGATGTTTAAAGGAAACTGAAAGGATTCCCTCCATCCCCCCAGCAAAGTCAGCCACAACGTCCTGTCCACTGTCCACCACAAACTGTGGGGTGTTGCTCCAGGACCTTGATTCAGACATGTATGCTCCCCCATCCATCAAACACTAATGTCTCTGTCACTAACTCCCAGCTCTATCTCCAGTCTTGAAGCTGGGCAAGTAGAGGCCTTGTAGGCCAGTGGGGTGCAGCTCAACAACCATCAAAGAAATAAGGATCTGTAACAGGCTACTTAATCTTCAGTGGAATATGCAGATAGAATCTCTCGGTTTGGCATGCAGATACCTTTGAGAGCAGTTTGTACCAATTAGCATATTGGAAATGAAAGAAAATAGTGTGTTCCTCTCTTTGCTATTGTAGAAGACACATGAAGTCCCTTATAACCATAGTGTCATAACTATGAAAGAGAAAAGCATCCCTTTGTGTTCCCCAAAACACATGCTATTCCTTTTGGGATAGACTAGCCAAGCTGAACCCAAAGCCTGCACAACCTGTTCCTCCTCCAGCTTTGAAAGAGCTGATGGAAGCTATCTGGCTGGTCTGAGGAGCCGATTTTGCAGAAATGTCCAGGTGCTTACAGGAAGGATAATCAACAGTGAGAGGTGGAAGCGCACCTTGGCTGCCCAAGGTGCCCACTGCCCCACCATGGGTAAAGCCCAGGTACAGAATGTCGCCATCCTTTACCCGATTTCATCGAACAAGCCTCTGACAGGTCTCCTATGCTCTAGCTTTCTCCTGGCTTCAATCCGTCTTCCCCAGGATGACCCAGGGGAAACGGAGTCAAGATGACGGAGTAGAAGAACGTGCAGTTCGCATCTCCTCACAAGTACACAAGTATGCATCAGAACAATTCTCACAGAGCAACTACTGGGCGCTAGTACTGACACCTAAGGGGATGGGAGGTGCCCCTGTATGACGAGGCCAGGGGTTGGGCCTGAGCTCCTGTGATGGGAGTGCCAAGTTCAAGCTGCTGGACTAACAGAGAACTTCAGGCCCCAGGGAATATTAATCAGTGTGAGCTCTCCCAGAGTTCCTCATCTCGGCACCAAGACCTGGCACCACCCAACTGCCTGCAAACTCCAGTGCTGGACATCTCAGGCCAAACAACCAGCAAGACAGGAACACAGCCATACTCATCAAAAAAAATGAGATGACAAAAAAATATGTTACAGATGAAGGAGCAAGGTAAAAACCTATAAGACAAAATAAATGAAGAGGAAATAGGCAAGCTCCCTAAAAAAGAATTCAGAGTAATGATAGTAAAGATGATCCAAAATCTGGGAAATAGAATGGAGGCACGGATCGAGAAAATACAAGAAATGTTTAACAAGGACCTAGAAGAACTAAAGAACAAACAGAGATGAACAACACAATAACTCAAGTGAAAACTACACTAGAAGGAACCAATAGCAGAATAACTGAGGCAGAAGAACAGATAAGTGAGCTGGATGATAGAACGATGGAAATATTTGCTAAGGAGCAGAATAAAGATAAAAGAATGAAAAGAAATGAGGACTGTCTAAGAGACCTTGCAGACAACATTAAACACACCAACATTCAAATGATAGGTGTCCCAGAAGAAGAAGAGAAAGAGAAAGGGTCTGAGAAACTATTTGAAGAGATTATCCTCGAAAACTTCCCTAATATGCGAAAGGAAATAGCCACCCAAGTCAGGAAGCACAGAGAGTTCCATACAGGATGAACCCAAGGAGAAACATGCCACAATACCTATCATTCAAACTAACAAAAATTAAATTCAAAGAAAAAATATTAAAAGCAGCAAGGGAAAAGCAACAAAGAACATACAAGGGAATCCCCATAAGGTTATCAGCTGATTTATCAGCAGAAACTCTGGAGGCCAGGAGGGAGGGGCAGGATATATTTAAAGTGCTAAAAGGGAAACACCTACAACCAAGATTACTCTACCCAGCAAGGATCTCATTCAGGCTGATGGAGAAAGCAAAAGCTTTACAGTTAAGCAAAAGCTAGGAGAATTCAGCACCACCAAACTAGCTTTACAGCAAATGCTAAAGGAACTTCTCCAGGCAGGAAACACAAGAGAAGAAAAAGACCTACAAAAACAAATGCAAAACAATTAAGAAAATGGTAATAGGAACATACATATCAATGACTACCTTAAATGTAAATGGATTAAATGCTCCAACCAAAAGACACAGGCTGGCTGAATGGATACAAAAACAAGACCCACATATATGCTATCTACAAGAGACCCACTTCAGACCTAGGGACACATACAGACTGAAAGTGAGGGGATGGAAAAAGATATTCCATGCAAAAAGAAATCAAAAGAAAGCTAGAGTAGCAATACTCATATCAGATGAATTAGACTTTAAAATAAAGACTGTTACAAGAGACAAGGAAGGACACTACACAATGATCCAGGGATCAATCCAAGAAGAAGCTATAATAATTGTAAATATTTATGCACCCAACATAGGGGCTCCTCAATACATAGGAAAATGCTAACAGCCATAAAAGGGGAAATCGACAGTAACACATTAATAGTGGGGAACTTTAACACCCCATTTACACCAATGGACAGATCATCCAGACAGAAAGCTAATAAGGAAACAAAGCTTTAATTGACACAATAGATCAGATAGACATAATTGATATTTATAGGACATTCCACCCGAAAGCAGCAGAATACACTTTCTTCTCAAGCACACATGGAACACTCTCCAGGACAGATCACTTCTTGGGTCACAAATCAAGCCTCAGTAAATTTAAGAAAATTTAAATCATACGGAGCATCTTTTCCAACCACAATGCTATAACGCTATGAGATTAGAAATCAATTACAGGAAAAAAAACTGGAAAAAACACAACCACATGGAGGCTAGACAATACACTGCGAAATAACCAAAAGATCACTGAAGACATCGAAGAGGAAACCAAAAAATACATAGAAATAAAGGGCAATGAAAACACGACAACCCAAAACCTATGGGATGCAGCAAAAGCAGTTCCAAGAGGGAAGTTTATAACAATACATTCCTACCTCAAGAAACAAGAAAAATCTCAAATAAACAACCTAACCTTATACCTAAGCAACTAGAGAAAGAAGAACAAACAAAACTCAAAGTTAGTAGGGGAAAGAAATCATAAAGATCAGAGCAGAAATAAATGAAATAGAAATGAAGAAAACAATAGCATAAATCAATGAAAATAAAAGCTGTTTCTTTGAGAAGATAAACAAAATTGGTAAACCTTTAGCGAGACTCATCAAGTAAAAAAGGGAGAGGACCCAAATCAATGAAGTTAGAAATGAAAAAGGAGAAATTACAACTGACACCGCAGAAATACAAAGCATCCTAAGAGACTACTACAAGCAACTCTATGCCAATAAAATGGACAACCTGGAAGAAATGGACAAATTCTTAGAAAGGTACAAACTTATAAGACTGAACCAGGAAGAAATAGAAAATATAAGCAGACCAATCACAAGTAATGAAATTGAAACTGCAATAAAAAATCTTCCAACAAACAGAAGTCCAGGACCAGATGGCTTCACATGTGAATTCTATCAAACATTTAGAGAAGAGCTAACACCCATCCTTCTCAAACTCTTCCAAAAAATTGCAGAGGAAGGAACACTCCCAAACTCATTCTATGAGGCCACCATCACCCTGGTACCAAAACCAGACAAAGATATCACAAAAAAGTAAAATTACAGACCAATATCACTGATGAACATGGACACAAAAATCCTCAACAAAATACTAGCAAACAGAATCCAACAACACATTAAAAGGATCACACACCATGATCAAGTGGGATTTATCCCAGAGATGCAAGGATTCTTCAATATACACAAATTAATCAACGTGATACACCATATTAACGAATTAAAGAAAACTATATGATCATCTCAATAGATGCAGAAAAAGCTTTCAACAGAAGTCAACACCCATTTATGATAAAAACTCTCCAGAAAGTGGGCAGAGAGGGAACCTACCTCAACATAATAAAGGCCATATATGACAAACCCACAGCAAACATCATTCTCAATGGTGAAAAACTGAAAGCATTTCCTCTAAGATCAGGAACAAGACAAGGA